TGATTGTACGAAAAATCTCGTTTTTAGCTTGTGGACCCTATAGAGGTCATAATTTTTATCCGATTTAAAAAAAACGTGTTATTATGTCACCGTTACATCCCTAAGGACGACTGAGTTCGAATTTCGTGAAAATCGGCCCAAAATTGACAGACAAAATGGCCGCCTTTCGTTCTCAAATAGCGTAAAAATATGGTATATCAAGGTTGTGGACCCTATAGAAGTCGCAATTTTTATCCGATTTTGTTGAAACTTGACATGTTAGTTTATAACCCAAAGATCTCGGTTCCTTTCGATATTCGCGCATATCGGACCGTAACTTCCTGAATTATGGCCCCTGATTGTACGAAAAATCGCCTTTTTAGCTTGTGGACCCTATAGAGGTCATAATTTTAAAAAAAATGTATTATTATGTCAATGTTACACCATAAAGACGGCTGAGTTCGAATTTCGTGAAAATCGGCCCAAAACTGACAGACAAAATGGCCGCCCTTCGTTCTCAAATAGCGTAAAAATGTGGTATATCAAGGTTGTGGATCCTATGGAGGTCACAATTTTTATCCAATTTTGCTGAAACTTAAAATGTAAGTTTATAACACAAAGATCTCGGTTCCTTTCGATATTTGCGCATATCGAATTGTAATTTCCTGAATTATGGCCCTTGATTGTATGAAAAATCACTTTCTTTTTAGCTTGTTCTCTATCCATCTCTCGAAAATGTGGGCGTATCCTGCCTGGCAGCCGCTGGTTCAGTTTTAACATAAAACACCTAAATAACAAGATATTACTTTAATTCATAACAAATGATTAGATTTCATTCTTAGAGATTTTTTTAGCACTGCTACAGCCAGGTAGCTGTGACAGTTTGTGAATGTGAAAGCCCCACTCATTTTAATTGTTATTTCTTCGTTACGTTAGAAAACAATTTCGTCTCAGGCCTTTTATTGTGTGTTACTATTTTTGTTCAATCGCACACACGCAGAATTTAACGAATAACCTCGATTAACTAGACACACACGATAACGATAATATTTTACGGGAATTCTTACTTTGATTTCTCATTTTACAAAATGTTTACATGTATTTATTTTTCAATTTTTATTTGTAAGTTAATCACACAAAGATCTCGGCTCCTTTCGATATTTGCGCATATCGAATTGTAATTTCTTGAATTATGGCCCTGGATTGTAGGAAAAATCATTTTCTTTTTAGCTTGTTCTCTATAAATCTCTCCAAAATGTGGGCGTATCATGCCTGGCAGCCGCTGGTTTTTTTTGTTTTTTTTTAATGTGTTGGAACGTATAACCGAGTATTCATATTGACAATGAATCAGTGACCTTATAAAATATTGTAGCATGTTTATCAGTGTAATGATATTTTAGAATTAGGACTTGAAATTGTAATGGACATATTTAGAGCTTTTAAGTATTGATATTGATATTGTATTGTATTTAATGCATGTTAGATAAAAACGTTAATTAAGGAGATGGTGTCGGTTGAGACCGAGGACGAAAATACGCTCCATGGAACAGATGATTCCACACCAGCACTAAGAAATAACCAAGTTACATTAACATTGTCATGAGTTAGTCCAGAAGAATGGCAGAATTTAATGGTATAACGAGAAGTGTAGACCGCATAAATGGCATCGTCCTACAAAAAGTCTAAGACCAATGTTGTTTCTGTAGTATAGTATAAATATATATCGCATGTGGTTTCCTTATATCATGAGTATTGTTATTATATCGTGTTTGCTGTATTATATCGTGTGTGCTGTTCTTATTTCCTGTGTGATATGCCTTTATTAATGTGCCATCAAGTAATACAGATGAAGACAGTGTCCCACCTCTGGGAATTGTGTTCGTTATTTATTTTTAATAAATAACCTGTGGGTGGGAAGGGAATGTGACAAAGTGATCTATACCTGAAGTTGACGTTTAAACTCTCTATAAACTTTTGTTAAGGCACGATCTTATTAAACATCTAATTTAATCAATATTTTCTTTACAAGCTACACGTGATCCGTGTATAATTCGACAGAACTTCAAAGATAATGTATTCGTGGTCAGTGCATCATACCATGACCTGACAATGACTTCCAAAGAAATATGCAGTGTAATTACAAACACCATAATTTGATAATAAACAATACCATATATGATTATCACTCCTGTCCATCTCCCCTAATTGTTAGACGCTATATAAACAGGCGTTTACTGACAGCAAGTCAGACTTGGAATAGAGCTCCTCCCGATTTATGTCTATTTCATGTTCTCAATAAATGTTTTATACATTATGCTGATCTTGTGTTATCTGTAAGATAGTGCTACAGCGGCTTCCAAAGATTTTTTTAGAGGGGATTATATTAGTGGCGATGGTTTGTTTGGCCCAAATCACCATGAAGTTCTATCGCCCAACACCAGGATCGAACAGACGCCTTACTCACAGGAGATGGGGTCTGGGGAGGGGTGGGTGGCTGAATGGTTAGCGCGTGTGCGCTGTATCATAAGGACTATCATTGAGTCAACTGGTGTATGTGACAAGGAGTAGGGTCGCCTGTCCAACCTCGTGGGTTTTCTCCGGGTCCTCTGCTTGCCCCCCCCCCCTATGTTAGTCCCGAAATGACCTAGTTTGGGGTCGAAATTCCTTTTCTAGATTCAATTTTCACAATATTGTAGTTTGCAAGAGATTTTAAAAAATAACGACCATGGACGGGAAATCTTCCTTTGTTCTTTTCGTTGAATAAGCTGACTGTTTTCCCTCTATTAGATTAGGTTGAGCTCAGCTCAGCAATAACTAGACATTTTCAATGTTATTGCACACTTTTGCTGGTTTACACCAGTTTTAGTAGAAGTCTTATTATAGATAAGTGATTTTGGGTTTTCTGTGCAATAACAACGAGCCAGTGTTACAAGTCATGTGTAGCCCGCTTCATTCATTATACCCCTGTCAGACCCTTACTATGCTGCTACGGTGACGGAAAATGACCTCAGAGCGCGTCAAGGCCGCAATAAGCTTGGTAAAAGCGTGGTGGAAACGGCAGATATCGTGCTGTGGCGTTTGTTTTGAGCATGTGGGGTCGCCAAGGTCGCGGGGCAAGCAGTGTAACATCTCCATGAAAGTAGTACATGCGCAGTACACACGTGGCAAAGACGCTGCGAAAATTTTAACATATGCTATGGCGACTTCGTGGCGTCTTCACCACGACCCTTGCGTGTCTGCCACGACACCACTAAGCGTTCGGAGTTCTTATGGCGTTGTCATGGCGATGTTACGATGATTTCACCATTGTTGCACTCACGGTGCGCCTATACCGATCTTATGGGGATTCCACTGCGATTATGGAGTTCTTAATACGCGCTTTCCAAGTTTGCATTACGCTCCTATGGCGACCATGCTTTTCATGTGCGACTTGCTATGAAAACGGGCGATTCTAAGTTCATCTTGAAATTTCCAAAAATCTGACCAGCTCATATAGTCGTTGTGATCAGGTGGCAGAAAAGCACGTGCAGTCGCGATACACGTAGACGACGTGTGGCAAGAAACCCATAAGAGTGGTTAGAGCGCCGCGGGTTCGCCGATGATCGCCGTTTCCAAGCCAATAGATCTCAATAGAAACGCCATTAGTTCGGAGAGGTCGTGATGGGCGCGCCGTGAGAACGCGGCATAACAGCACATGTCGCGGTAAGAACGCGGATTTTGTCAAGTTTGTAATTCTTTGGGACATTTTCTCGCGTTAGGTTAATGTTTGCCGGCGACTTCGTGCATTTTCTGGTCTACGTACGGTCGCAGCAGTGCAGTAATGACGCCATCCAGGTCTGACGGGGGTATTAATATCCCCGTCAGACCGGGGTGGCGTCCTAACTGCGACGGAAAATGATCGCAGGGCGCGTCAAGATCGCCATAAGCGCGGTAAACGCGTGGTGGAAACGCCAGATATCGTGCTGTGGCCTCCATGGTCGTGAATGATCGCCTAGTCACCGCGCTTGTTTTAAGCATGTTCAAAACAAGTTTGTAATTTTTTGGGACAATTTCTCGCGTTGTGTTTACGTTTGCCGGCGACCTTGTGCATTTTCTAGGCGCTGTACGGTCGCAGTAGCGCAGTAAGGACGCCACCCACAGGTTTATCACCTCGGCCTCACGGCCTCTGTGGTTATAGATATAACTGATGATTAACTGGGTTGTGGTTATAGATAGGACAGAAGATGGCTAGGGCCGATGACTCCTTAAAGGTCGAGAACAACTCGGAGGATATTTATACATCTATGTGGATACAATGTATTCTGAGAATTCAAAAGACCATTTTTATGTATACATTGTCCTTTAATTGTCAGCTATCCTCTCAGCGTCTCAGCGTTTAACCAGTTCTAACACATATGTACTAATGGCTGACACCAATATTGTCCTTTAATTGTCTGATTGATTTTCTTTTATAAACAATATTTTATTCATGATGTCTGAACGAAATTAAAATTGGGGAACAGGCTAAGCCTATACAAACCCCCTGTCTGTACAGTACATACACATTACACATAATAATAATAATATAAGTACAAATATTCGGGTTAAAGTACGATAACTTGTATGTGTACGAGAGAGAGAGAGAGAGAGAGAGAGAGAGAGCTTATATGATTTAGAGTATGTCATTCAGAATGAATGAAGTAAAGTGGATTTTATTTTACCTGGATGTATTTTTTATTTATTTATATATGTATCTATCTAGCGTAAACAAAGAAGTACTTGTACTTTATCTACTTTAATATATATACATTTTTTATGAGGAGTTCCCAGACGAGCGAAAAGTACTTTAACAATGTTATTGAACCATCGTGGAAATCAGTTTGTGTCGGCATACCTTTTATCTTTTCATCGTTTACCGTGAAACAAGGTAGCGCAGCCTTATGGTTGTGCTAGTATTTGTGGATATGTTGCTATGACTTACAAATAGGATAGAAAAAAATCAAAAACGACAGAGAGAGAGGGAGAGAGAGAGAGAGAGAGGGGGGGGGGGGGAGAAATGGGGTTTCCACTCGACACAAACTGGTCATTTCGGGACTAATATATGGTTCAATTTTATTTCAGTATTTCGCTTGCGCGTAGGAGTCTTTAGCAGTGGGAGGAAACCGGAGGACCTGGAGTTTGGACAGACGAGTCTACACCTTGCCACGTACACAACCGGGGAATCGAAACCACGCCAGTTGACTCAATGACAGACATCATGATACAGCGCGCACATGCTAACCATTCGGCCATCCAACCCCGCTACATCTTGAGAAGTTGGTCCAATGAAGTCACCAACACTATCACGACCAATTTAAAAGATTAGCCAACATATAATATATTCTTAGTGACCATGTGCAGCGTTTGTTTTGAACTTTTTCTGACCACATGTCTATCATTTGTTCCTTTGTATAGGGATGTCCAGAAATTTGATTTTCAAACCAACACCTATCAACTAATGGTTTTCTACAAGTGAATCCCCGGTGAGCAACCAATTTAACTGTAGCACGCTCCCTTACTATACCAGTAATAAAAACATCTTCTAGATAATAGTATTTTGTCTTTAAGGCTACACTAAGTAATTTGCTCGTTATATCTCCGGATAAAACGTAGGCCGGACCAGATACATAATCTGGATAATACGTTAACGGATAGCTTTCCGCGTACCACTTTGACTTTGGGTTTCGATGAGGTGACAAAGACTTAAAAGCATGCCCCATAATCATATTCCTCCCATCATTTTTACGTAAATCTTCGATCAAGAATGGTAGGTTTATAAAGACATCCACATCAACTTTTACTATATATTTTACACCTGGACAAAATGTGCTGGCGAAACGAAGAATGGCTTCAGATTTAATACTGAGATTATGGTAACTATCGTAAAAATCCTCTTGAATAATATCGTGGTAGTTTTCACTTTCAGTCTTTAAATCATGATGGTTGATCTCTGGACGATATCCCAGCATAAAAACCAAACGTATTTCTGTATTATTCACAGCTAACGACCCCCAGGTCTTTCTTATAACCTTTCTTTCTTCAAACTCAGACGTTCTTGAAGAAACTGCTATTAACAGAAATATTTTGTCTGGAAATGGTTTACAAATCTTCGATTCATTAATGAGATATTTATAGTTGTGAGTTCGACTGTCGTCAAAATTATGTTCAGACAAAAATATGTTCGGGCCGGGGACGGCATAATGAAGTCTCCAAAACAAAATAAAACCAAAGGCCGTAGCTATTAATACATGTCTCTTCTTAAGCCTTGGGGCAAACATACTGCAGAATACTACATATAGAGACCTGTAAAGAAAACGATGAATTAAGATTAGATATTGGTTGGGATGGTAAAGCCTCACTGATTAGACATTGGTTGGGATGTGAAAGCCTCACTGATTAGATATTGTTTGGGATGTCAAAGCCTAAGTCTGCTTAAAGCGATAATTTCATATTTTCTAAGAAAGTCAAAACATAATTATTTCTATGTCTTTTGCTCAATAGGTTTGTTATATTTTTCGAAGATTCTGTAAGACACTCTATACATCAGCTACACTCGGAGAGTGTGTAGGAACAAATGATGCCATCTAAACTCTGGTATCTAGGAATATGTTTTATTCAATCTTTACTCTACAGACTACACTTGAAAAACGTGGTCCGAAGACAAAATTTAAGCGCGAGACAACTCTATTTACTTGTAAAATGGAGTTATCCCCCTTTACCCATGAGGACTGTATTTTTATGTCTTACTGATAGACTATTTTCTTAACACACTCCCCCCTAAAATTTGGCATCGACAAATTTTACATAAATACAAAAAATAGTACCATCAGCAAGAATCAAGAATATAATAGAAGGGAATTTAAAGCTATTATCAGGATCTCAACTCTACACACTATACTCTACACTCTAAAATAGACTGAAAATTAACTATCTTAAAACTTGACATTAGGAGTTACTGTTTGAAAATAAAGAATGAACATTTCAATACTCAATTATCTGTAACTAACTCTAAAGGAAACAACTTTTGAATTGGACGATTCATCGCGATTGGTCTACCGAGTTTATCATGTACACGAATTTCCGCAGCACGAATATTGCCATCGCGACCTTCAAACGTTTTCTCTACACGAGCTATCCTCCAGTTTAATCTTGGGATTTTATCTTCCTGGACAACGACTACGTCACCAACATGAATAGTAGGACCTTTCTTGGTTCTGGATCGATGGTGATCTCTTAAATCTGTTAAATAGTCTTTCCGCCATCTATTCCGGAAATGGGTTAACACTGTATTCAGATAGGAATTACGTTTTCTACAATCTTTATTCGTTTTCACACTAAAATCGTTCGCATTACTTGAATCATTGGTTTGGAATAACAAACGACGGCCTAAAATCAAATGTGAGGGCGTTAGCGTTGTTCATTTGTCATCTAGAAGAATATATATCTTTCACATATAACGGTCCCGCATAATCAACCCCAACCTTCGAGAATCCAAAATCATCACTAACACGAAAGTCTGGTAATGGTGGTTGTATTGGTACACCATACGAGTTTCCTTCTAATCTTCTACATATAAGATACTGTTTGATTACCACTTTTACAACTTGTCTACCTCTAACAACCCAGAATCTGGTTCTTAACTCAGACAAAGTATCCTGTACTCCGTTATGGTAAACTCTTTCATGGCATTCAAGAATCACTAATCTAGTAAAATAATGTTCTCCATCTAACAGAATAGGAAACTTTGTATCGTAAGGTAAAGGAGAATTCTCCAATCTACCATGACATCTAAATAAACCATTTTCATCTTCCTTTAAATTTAATGATTCTGTCTGTTTTTGAAATTTCTCTTTAGTCCTCAGTTCAATCTGCATCTCTTTAATCCACAAGTATTCAGCATCTGTAATCTCATCAACAATAAGATATCCATGTCTACACTCTTGTACCTTTAACACTGGATTTTAAATTATGGATAAAACGAATAACATAAGCTGTAACGCGAAGTAATACTGAGAGACTACTATATTTATTCACATCGATGCTTGTACTTATTTTGGTATATAGAACAAGAGCCCAAGGGGTTAACCTAGCTGAAAAGTGTACCAATTTTCTCCTATATGGTATCAATGTATGTATATCTGGTATCATCAGAATGTAAGTCTGCCGGGTTTCTGGTGGTGGGTGTGGTATTCCACGCCCAAAATGCCATGCCCCCCCAACTAGTCTAGAGTAGCTCAAAGGTGTACCACATGAAAATCGCACAGCAATGTACCTTACATCTTCAGGTATTACAAAAACACTCTGACAGACATTTCTAGTGGTGGGGTACCCCTGACAGAGCTACGTAATTGCCAGGCATTTGTAGTGATGGAGTATCCCTGACAAGAGTTATCTAATTTCCAGACCAAAGCTAGTGAGCGCGTGCCCTTATCTTGTCTTGGCCGATGTGACGCAACCCTTGGGTTATTTGTCACTAGTTTTCACAATGTTTACCTAATAATAAGAAGAGGCTGTTAACAGGAGATAATAATGATCATACAATATATATAGTAATTATGCAATTATGAAAATATGCAATTATGAAAACATGCAATTATGAAAACATGCAATTATAAAATATGTAATTATGAAAATATGTAATTATGAAAATATGTAATTATGAAAATATGCAATTATGATATGAAATATGCAATTATAAGATTATAAAAATAACGGTAATTGTATAATAATTGAATTACACAATACATATAAATATGACATCAGGTGTCCGTAATAACTAATTATGAAAATAATATTTCTTGAACGCTGATGCATGATAATTAAAAAGTTTGAGATGCTTTCTCATTATTAATGATGGTTATGACGTAACCATATTACTCTAGAGATCTGAACGTTAACTCGTAAGTTATTTGTTCCTCACATTCGATATGAGCACGAAAGGTTATTTTATCGAATGTGAACGATCATTAATACTTCGTACCACAGTATAATTATTGATGATAATTAGCACCCGGCTATTGTATCAATTATACTGCTATTTACGAGTATGTATTTTATGCATTACTATTTAAAACAAAATATATTTAAAATGTCCAAAACCTTAAATCAGCATAATATTTAGCTGAGCATAAGCTAACAATATAAATTTACATGAAGGATATAATCAGCGTACTATAGCTGACGAGTATAATGAAAATGAAATATATTGAACATAGAATGACTTACCTAATAATAAGAAGAGGCTGTTAACATATAATGTCTAATGTTTTCAAGAGATAATAATGATTATGCTTCTTGAGTTTCTGGGTTTATATCCTAATTTCGGTTACCATAGATTTGATTAGCGTGCATTCTAAAGTATTTAATCCGTTTCTAATGGAGAGGATTATAACCCAGACTAAGACATGTTAACAACCTAAGTTTAACTGGACAAGAGGGATCATCGAGTTAATGGCTTAATCTTTAATTTAATTAATTGTTAGTGTACAACAAATATATGTTTGTTGCACACTATGAAAATAGGCTAGATTAGCTGAAATCTGTACCACCTAAAACAGCTTTGGAGTTGTTCAGTACCACCACAGGAATCATGAATGACCACTGCCAGACAGTTTGTGCGGTGGGTTGCCCCTAACAGACACGCCCAAAATAACACGACCCCCAACTAGGATAGATTAGTGGGCACTGTTCCTGTGGTCCAAAAAATTAAAAATTATGCCAGGATGCGTAGAATACTAATACCTAGCACATATGAAAGAGGCGATAAACTGCGGTTGTAGGAACAATTTTATTTTTCAAAAACCCATTTTTAGCCCCATAAAATGTTTTTTGCCCAAAAATCAATTTCTTGCAATCGCAGTTTATCGCCCTTTCCATACGTGCTAGGTATTAGTATCCTACGCATCCTGGCTAAAAATCTAATTTTTTAGAACACGGGAACAGTGCCTGCGAAGCTAGCCTAGTTGGGGGCGTGTCATTTTCGGGCGTGTCTGTTAGGGGTAACCCACCGCACAAACTGTCTGGCAGTGGCCATTCGTGACTCTTGTGGTGGTACTGAACAACTCCAAAGCTGTTTTAGGTGGTACAGATTTCAGCTAATCTAGCCTAGCTTCGGTCTAAATATTAGATAACTCTTGTCAGGGATACTCCACCACTACAAATGTCTGGCAATTACATAGCTCTGTCAGGGGTACCCCACCACTAGAAATGTCAGTTTGAGTGTTTTTCTAATACCTGAAGATGTACGGTACACTGCAGTAAGACTTTCGTGTGGTACACTTTTGTGCTAATTTAGTCTAGTTGGGGATCATGGCATTTAGGGCGTGGAATACCACACCCACCACCAGAAACCCGGCAGACTTACATTCTGATGATACCAGATATACATACATTGATACCATATAGGAGAAAATTGGTACACTTTTCAGCTAGGTTGACCCCCTGGGCTCCCGGTAACTAGGACAGAAGTCTTTTCTTCTTCGCTCACAACAGGTAATTCTACATTATGAGGTAACCAATGATCATTGGGATCTGTGAGGAAAGCTGGGCCGTGCCACCATAATTCATTGTTTAATAGATCTACAGCTTTACAACCGCGCGATACAATATCACTAGGATTGTTCGATGAAGGTATATAACTCCAATCATCAGTAGATGATAAACGTCGTATTTCTGTGACTCGATTGTGAACGAATTGCTTGAATTTTTTGGAAACATTCTTAATCCAACTTAAAGCTACTGTAGAATCAGACCAATAGAAAGTTTTAAAGTCTATCTTGTCACTTAAAGCTTCACGAATACTACTAGCTAATCTGACGGAGACTAAACAGGCAAGCAGTTCGAGACGTGGTATTGTCTTGTCATTTTCATTGTAGGTACTACTCGGGATTTTCGACGCGATCAAGTTACAATGAATCTTACCAGATGAATGAATACAACGGATATACGCACAACAACCGTATGCTCGTTCGGATGAATCGCCAAATACATGTAATTCTATAATAGCATCACTGAATAAATCAGAACAAATACAGCGCTTAATAATAACAGAATTAACATCACTCAAACTACGTACTAGTTCTAACCAATAATTAGTAAATAAATCATCCAATGGGTCATCCCATTCTAAATGTTGTTTACACAATGTCTGGAAACATAATTTAAATAATAATACAATAGGAGCAATAAGACCTACAGGATCATAAAATTTCGCAGTAACACTAAGTACAGCACGTTTCGTAACTCTATCATCTTTGACACTAGATTCTACACTACTTAAGAT